TTTTAAAGTGGAAGTGGAATGAGCACTTGTAGATTCTGTAGAGGTGATTTTCAGTCAGTATGCTTTGGACTAGGCGACCTCTAAAGTTACTTTCAGCTAAAATTCTAGATTATTATCCACACATGAAAAAGAAAATATCTTTGACAATAAGCACTAAGATTGATTTATAATTTTTGTAAGAGAAAAGACCTGAAAAATACTCTAGCTATCACTATTTCTCCTCTGTCAGATAGTAAAAATTATCAAATAGAACATTACAGATAAGAATGCAATCCTAAGTCAGTAAAGTCTGACTCTGTGATGCAATAATTATCTAAAAGCAAAGTAAAACTTAGTCTTACCTATTATGAATGATTTTGCCTGAAAATAAGGTTCATCATTTTTAACAACAAAAAAATCTCTCTCAATTTTCTTGAAGACATTTCTACTTGAGAAATTCATAGCTGAATCTGTCATGAACTTGACATCTATAACACTTTCACTTCCAAGGTTATATTTAATATTCTAACATCCTTACAATGGCCCTTTAACAAAAAACTCTATATGACAGAAAGATTACAACAGATAATTAGACTAGATTACAATGATAAAAACCACAAAAGTGCAAAATGATTCAAATACAGAGCATACATAGACATACTTACACACCCCCTTTAGGCAATTTTGATGACTGAAGCTACTTTGCTATTTTCTGTTGTAATGTTTATACTATTTGGTAATGACAATCATAAAAGCATTTTGTCATCTCTGAATACTTCAAAATATTAGTACTCACAATTCTGAACAAAGCTACAGAGAATAACTAAATGAAGACTTATTTTGATTTCTTTGTGGTGACATTAACAACAAAAGAACCATAGCAGAGGATGATGGTGCACACAGAGCTTTTGAAGGTAAAACCAAAACCACAAAATCTCAAACAAGATACCACCTAGGGGTACAACTCGTAACCAAGCAGCAGACACTGACATCTGCTGGAACAGATCAGATTTAATTTAACTATCCATCATCTATGAGAAGAAACCCTCTAGTGGACAGTATCTTAGGTGCACTTTCTATATATAATACTTGAATCTCTGGGTGTTGTTTATTCTGTAAAGAGGGAATTGAGCAATGAATAATCTGACAGTTTCAGTTGCTGTGAAGTACAGCATGTTAGAACAGTTGCATGTCTTCACCATTAGATTCCACAAAACAGTTGGGAATGGATGAATGAAAAAGCATTTATAAGCACTTACTATTGGCTAGGCACAAGGAATGATACAAATACAAATGGCCTTAAAGTGCTCACATTCAACAGGAGAAGACAATACAATATAGAAGAATGGTGGCCGGGGGTGGGTGGTGGTGGTGGTGGGTGTTTTATGGTCAGGGATGTGACAATGATAGTTGAGTGGAAATTCAATGAAACTGACAGACTTGCCGTTCCAGGAATTGGTACTGTGGTGTAGATTACTGTTTTCACAGTCACACATGGAATGAAGGGAAAGAGGAAGTATTTGCAACTTAAAATAAACTGGCATCAAGATGGATGGGAGCAGCAAAAAGTGCTGGGTCTGAGTTAGGCCTGACTCAGACCAGAGTCACATAAATCTGAAGTAAAAAAGGAAGGATTTGAGCCCAGGGCCTCCACACTTATGGACCTCAGCAACTCATTCAGAACTTAATAGTCTTAAAAGAAATGTCTCAGGGCAGAGGTTTCAAACGTGTGGCTCACAAAACTTCCAAATGTGTCCAGAAACAGATTAATATGCAAATGGGAAAAATTTAACAACATAAATAAAAACACAACAGAACACAGATATTATGAATATGCAGTTTTCTAAGTTAACATGTATCTGCAGGGATCTTTAGATGGGGTTCAGTGGTCCCCATTTCTTTTTGTGTTTGACACCACTGGCCTACAGCGCTGAGATGTGGCTTACAGCTATAGTACTATGCCAGAGACTGGCACCTTCCATCCTCTTATCCTCATTCTTCATCTATAAAATGGGAATGACATACATTGTACTTAGGGTTGGTATGAAGATCAAAAGATACAATGTAAAGCACTGTGCCAACTTTAAAGTTGAGAGCAAAGGGTGTATGGTTACTTCTTTTAAAATACTGATAGCGCCAGCTCTGCACACAAAGAATGCATGTCTTCTTATTTCAAGTCCTTCCACTATACCACAAATAGACTATAATAAATATGAGGCATAACAGTGTAGTGAAAAGAAAGCTGGACTTAAAGAGTTTGGAGACCCAGGATCTTACTCCTCACATATTCTCTCTCTGTAGTCCTGGTCAGGTTGCTTCTTTGAAACTCAATTTTTTCATCTGTAAAACGGGGATAATTATAATACCACCCACTGGACAAGGTAATTGTGAGGATCAAATGAGAACGTATAAAGTGTTTTCTAAACCAAAAAGTGCAATATAAATGTTAGCTACGATCATTATTAATGGACATAACTAAAGGTCATAATTTTAAAAAGTAAAAACATTTTCACAGATTAGTACACAGAAGGGAGAAAGGAAGGGAGAGGAGAAGCAGTATGGCAAAGTGGATAGATAGCAGGCTGGCCTTGAGTCAGGAAGGCCTAGGACCGGGTCCTATATCTGGCACGTTCTAGCTTTGTGTCCATGGGAAAGCTAGTTTAACTTTTCAATACCCCAGGCAAATTTCTAGGCTATAAGTTACAGATGAGTTGCCAATACACATTGGTGGAGAGAGTTTCTACATGATGGAGTTCTTTATGTCAGTGACATTAGAGATCTTTTGCATCCATCCTAGGAGGAAAGAAAAAAAATGTAGGAAACATTAGGTGTACATACCTTTTCCAACAGCATTTCTCTTTCATTTTCAACCTCCTCACTCCATATGGTCATATCATTTTTGGTTTTCTGTGTTACAGTTAGTACTACTAATTTGCCAGAATTCACTTCTAGAAACATTGATTCAAAATCTAGTGAGAGAATAAAATCAACATTCAGTGGAGATATAGACTATAATTTTGTTCTTACCTTCTTCTCATTCAATCCCCAAAATAAGGTACCGTACAGTGCCAAAGCTTTTCAACATCCATCATAAGAATTATTTAACTTAAATGGGTTGTCATTATTATATTTATTTAATAAGCTATTTATGTAACCTTACTCAAATTATTTTTAAAAAGTAAAGTAAGTACTGCAGTATTATCCCATTTCTAACAGATGAAACAAGACCATAGTGGTGTCAGAGATGGCACTTTTGAAATTAGGTCTCTCCTAACTCTGAGTCTAGTACTTTTTCTACTAGACACTGCAGCTTCTCAATAATGATGATGACAACAATTATTACTATTATTATTATTATTATTATTATCATTTCTTCTACAGACGAATAGATTGGAATTTCAAATGTAAAATCTGGGTTTATCCTTATCCTTTATAGACTAGAAAAACTTCCACCAAGGTCCTATTCCAATGTTTCATCAAGACACTGAAGTGACCCTGGCTTTTGAAGGCTATGTTGGTAAAACAAATTTTAGCAGGGCCTACTGAGCTTGAAGAACTTTAGGGACAGGCCCAATGGCAGACTGTCTGAGGGAAAGTTTAACCGAAGTTTGAAGAGGCTTATCACTAAAATGATCAATTTTGTACTGCCATATCAACTCATGCAGGTCTTCCATTATGATGTAAAGTGGTTGCAATGTGCCTCAGTGGAGGGAGTACATATGCCAGTGATATCATAAATTTTTAAAAAGTCTTTAAAGAAGGCTACATAGAAATTCCAGCATTATTATCTTGGTAAAGCTTGATCAGGATGTAAGCAAAGCATTTAGGGAAGAAAGACATTACTGTAGTATCTTTTTTTTTTGTAAAGAAAAGAATACTGTAATTTCTGCAAGGTACTTTGTACATAAGAACGGAAAGTGAAACTCAAAATAAGCCCAATTACTTTAAAAGATGCAAACAATTTCTGAAAAAGAGGAACAAATTTTGGTTTCCTAAGATGAACTTCAAACTCAATTTACGTTCAAATTACTTTTTAATAAGACATTAAATCTCTTTCATAATTCTGTTGACAAACACACATGTACTAGAACTAAGTGAAACCAGAGGTCATTCTACTCTTTCATTTTACTGACAAAATAAAGGCCCAAAAAAGTTTGCTTAAAGTTACATTATCCGGTAAGGCTCGGAGTCAGGACTGGAACCCAAGCCTGACTCCTGCTGGTATTCCAGTACACTAAGCTGAAGTATTTTAGAATCCCATCCAGGGTTCACAAAAACACAATGTGGTAGAATGCAAGTTCTTTGAGGACAGAGGCTGATGATTTTATATCTTAGTGCCTAGCACAATGGATATAGTAGGGGAACTGTTAATTATTAATAACACACTGTTAATTAATGTTTATTATAACACAGCAGCACAGTCAATTTTCTATTCCAAAACAGAGTAGGAAAAAAAGGATAGCATGAAAAGTGACAAAACTAAATTCCTCCTTAAGGAATGTCATTATGGGGTAATATGTTACAAAGTACTTACTATGGCCAAGGTAAGAGCATTCAGATGTCAAAGATGTATTAACTGAGATTCAAACTTACTACCACTAGGGAGCATTCTTCAGTAGTACAAAAATTACCTCTGTTATCTGGTTACCAATGCCACAGAAAATAAAACATACTGTACCTTTTCGAAGCAGCTCTGGACATGTTTGTATTACACATTCTACTTTGGCACTTTCAAAATAAGTTTCTGCTCTATTAATTTCCTACTGTTCAACAGGTGCATCACTTCCCTAAGGAGAACAAAACAATATAAGTAGGTAACATCTGCATTTCAAGTAATGTGTCATCTTACTGAGTTGTCTCTAGTTAGCTTGATGTAGCTAAATCTAAATCTATATCTATGAAATACAGGCTCTAATCACACAGGGGTAGAGGCATGAACAATTAAAGTTATTTTTATAATACATATTCTGTCAAATTAAACTATTTCTTCTAAGAAATAAAGAAAAAGAGTCTCACATATATAAATGTGATAATGATATTTATTTCCAAGATCTGATTTCATAAAGAACAGAACACATAACAGGTTAAGAAATGGGTCAAAACTTCAGAATTATACTGCAGCGACAACTGTGAAATCATCTTGTAACACTTCACTATTTGTCTTTTCTGTAAAACAAGGACGGTATTAACCTACATAGGATTCTTGTGTGAGATGACAGATGATATAAATAATTATCAAGCACTTAACAAAGAGATACATACAATTTAAGGCCCAAAGGTATCATTATGTTCAAAATAATGAATAACTTAATTGGTCAAACAAAAAGTATTATTACCTGTCAACCAAACATTCTCTGTATATTACCACATTCTGATCAAGTGAGAAAAAACACTTTTACTTTCCCACTCTTCTCTTTAATCCTTGACACACCAACATATTGCTTCCAACTTACAACAGTTTTGCCTGTATAGGAAGCTTTCATCTTCCCTTTTTTAAAAAAATTAAAATAATTTTCTACTTTATTAAAACGAAGAATTTCTCACCAGGAGTTTGCTCCCTAATCTGAGTTGTCAAAGGGACTTTAGGTATGATTTGGAGATTCCTTATTGTGAATTTAAAATAAAATTCTATTTAGAATTAATTTTCAGTCTATATATTCAGGAAAATAACTTGGAATTCTGTTAAAAAAAAAGTGACTAAAACCTCCATACCTCCTGACCCAAAGACTCTACGCTAGCTAGTCATATGCTTCAAGGTCAAAGACATAAATGACATATATATGTAATCATATGAAGATGTATGTGTGTAAATTACATCTATACACATGCATATAAAAAATATTCACATCAGCACCTTTTGTGGTAGCAAAGAATTGAAAACAAAGTAAATGCCCATCAGCTGTGGAATGGTTGACCAAAGTGTGGCGCATCAATATAAAAATGGATCATTACTGTGTTGTGAGAAATAATGACTATGAAGAATTTAGAGAAGCACTGGAAGACTTAAATGAACTGATATAGAATGAAGTAAGCAGAATCAAACAAAATTCAATGGAAACAATGTAAATGAAATTGAACAAAAAAAGAAACCGAATGCTATGTAATTATAATGGTGAAATCTGGGCTGAGAAAAAAAGATGAGAAAAGCTACCACTCTCTCACATTCTTGGCAGAGGTGAGGTACTATGAATATATATGATTGTGTATGCCATCAAATTTGGTTATTCATTTTGTTGAACTGCCTTTCCCTTTCTGTTTCTTGCAATAAAGGATGGGTCTTTGAGTAGAGGAGAGGGAAGGGATATACTAAGAAATAAAGGTAATATAAGAAAAAATAACAATACTTTAATGAAATTCTATAATACGTAACCTAAAAAAAAATCAATAAAGGTCTGTTCAGTATAAGGAATAAAGGGAAAATGCACATGATGCAGTACCTTTCTAGAATATTTAGAAATAAATATTAGAACCCTTGCTAAAAATGCTGTACTATGGTATGGCAATAAGTAGTTGGAATATACTGAAAAGATCCTTCATCCCTACAATGTTTTTAATTTTTGCTCTGCAACACACAACAATCAAGAGGATTAAGTTGATACAGTATAATCTCTCTGGACACTCTCTCCAGAGACATCTGAAGGGAAATTATAAAAACTAAAAAGTATTACCTTAATGTCTTTGAGCTTTCATCCTGCAGACAGCTGTATGGGTAAAGTACATTTAAATGGTAGAAGCCTCAAACATTTAAAAAATAATCTGTATTCTCTGTAACAGCTTCTCATATTATGTGACATTCATGTCCCATACTCCCATTACTCCTCTATGGGACTCCACTCAAAGTGCTGGAAATTCTTCCTATAGATCACTGAACATTGTATAGAAACCAATATAATAGTTTTGCTACTTGCCTGGTCCATCTTCTTTTTCAGTTGTATTTGATGATAAACAGGTTTCACAGGTATTACATGGAATATGAATATGCTTACACGCACACACTGTGCCCACAGAAATTGTTTTGCAACCTGAATTAATTACAAGTTGTTGCTCCTATATCCTATAATGACAAAGTCAACCTGGAACTGGAGGTATGTGAACAGTAACAAGCATGCTAAGATATTTAAACACTCTACCTTAACTAGTGTTCCTGAAAAAAACTGAGAAATACATTTTTATACAAACTCTAACTAAAAGTCCAATTTTAAATATCACTTTTGGGCCAGGAATGCTTTTGCAGTAGATATCTCTCTGCCAGCTATAGTGCAATCATGCAGTTTAATCAATTAGCAATCAGCAAGTAGGTATTAAATTCTACTATATGCCAGGCACTGTTTTACATGTTAGGATACAAAGCTAAAAAGTCAAATAGCCTCTCCCCTCATTTAGCTGGCATTCTTATGGGTAAGCCAATTCACACACATATAAAATATATGAAAAATAAATGAGGGAGTTTTGAAAGGGAAGGCAGTAGCAGAACCTATAGTTTGAACAAACTAAGCTCAGACAAAGATAACTGTTTTTAGCACAGAACACCTCCTCCTTGTTAACAATATCTAACAATTTCTAGGGAATATCCAATCTTGAGAGGCAGCATGACAGAACAGCTAGCTAAAGGGCTGGTCTTGCAGTCAGGAAGACTGGGCTTTCTGGATTTGTCTAACACATGCTAGCTTTGTGACCACAAGCAAGTCAATTAACCTGAGTGCCTCAGGCAACTCCCTAGGATAAGTTACAGTTGAATTGCCAATTTGTAATGGTTGAAATAATATCATAAGATTTTTACACTTTTTTACTAGACACCAGTCTTACCTCAAATTCACTTACATACTGTGCCATCACAAATTCAGGCCTTTCACTTGATAAAGGCTCTGCTAGGACATCAGGCAAAGTTCTATGAACTGGACTTTTCTTCTGCAAAGGCGTTCCACTGAGGTGACAGTCAAAACCTATATTCCCAGGGAGCTGAAATCTTTGATCCTGGGGCCCAAATGGTCCCATAGTTTCATCTGGCCACACAGTTCTTGAACCTAAAAAGAAATGGAGATAATTATTTTTTTCTTCAATTTTGGCACAGAAGTTATAGGTTTTGGGCCTATGATTTTTGTAAAGCAAGAAATTCTTTTAAGAAAGTTCTGAGGGGAGGGAAGAAAGAGATTAAGGTCTTAGCAATGTGGATTTTAATGAGAACATACATCATCTACATAAATGCCATTTGTTAAATAAAATTCAAGATTTATTTTAAAAACATGTGCTAAAAATTTCAGTTTGGGTGTTCCGGTTTTTTTTTTCTGGCTGAAAACAGACATGTATTTGAACTGTCATTTTTTGGTTGTAGTTACTTTTAGAGACTCGCCTCTCTACTACAAGTCCATCTCTCTTGTATTTTCTACCTCCAGGATCTGGCTCAACACAGACTCCAAGATTTCCAACCAAGATGAGTGGAAAATAACGATACCACTAACATAAGTCAGAAACCACCTCTGGGGTGAAAATCATGAGGTTGTTTTTTTGGGGGTGGGGATGGGGGGAAACTTAAGGAGAAATCCATATATTACAAATATAGGATATGATTCTTTGGTTTAATTCTCTACGGAAGCAGATTTCCATTTTTTCCCTTTGCTTTTTCACATTTAATTTTTTTAAAATTTGGGTTATAAATACATCTTGGGAAAAAAAGAACACTAAAGAATTGGTAAGCATAATTATTATAGAACTTAAGAATAAAAAAGCGAGTGGTCTCACCAAATAGAAAGATCAGTTATTAATCACATGACAGACACAAACAACATTAATACTGCATGTCTATTTCCTAGCCACATTTGGCTGTCTTCAGACTATTTGCCACTGAGATAAATAGGACTTCGTAGCAATTTTCATCCTAACTAATCTGTTTAGGTTTGGGATGGAAAATCGTTATGATTAAAGTAGTAGTGCAATGTCCACTAAGTTTTGTCCAATATTTCAAAAATATCTCACTTACTTCATCAATATTTAGACTTAAATTAATTTCACCGTATCAGAATTGTTTCGGCATTTACTTTCTTTTCTTTAAACAAAAAAAAAAAAGGACTATGCGTCTCCATCTTGCTGATCAGCCCAGGAGTTTTGACCTGCTTTTTTCTGACCTGGGCTAGTGCTCCCCTCCTTTGGCATCTTGGAGCACCTTAGCACCCACCTGGCCCTTCTCCCCAAAACTCATCACGTTAGTGTGAGACAGTGTAGAAATCTGATCAGTATAGCCCTTCTGCAGCTTAGAACTCCAGAGCTCAAGTGCCTCAGTCTCCCTAGTATGAGGAATTATAAGCCTGTGGCCTCACACCCAACTCCTCACTTCCACTTTTATATGGCCCTAGTTAAGCATGAGTTCTATTTGCTGTGGAGTAGGAAGATGGATGCAAGAAGGATGACCAGAAGGAGGAAGAAGTGGCAAGATGCCCTAGAAGCTTGGTACTGTAGGGAAATTTCTGGCAGGAGAAACTGGGGGGCTAGCCATTCTATTCCATTCTATTTGGCCAAGAACAGGGACGGAGATGGAAATTGACAGTGGTCCAGGAAGCCAGTTTTTTGCTACTGCTGAGCAAATGCCTCCAAGAAGAGCTGGAATGAAACATACCAGTGAACAGAAATAAGGATGGAAGAGGACGGGACTGGTATATAAAACCATAACCTCAATGATTAATCAGTATACAAGACTAATGCTGGTCATCAGACTGGACTGCAGCTTTACATTCCACCTAGCCATCCAATTTCACCATCCATCAACAGCCACTGAGCTGCTCTTCCTCATCTGGACCTGTAGTATCCACTAAGCTTCAGACTGGGATCTCCACACTGGAGATTTCCTGAATCCATGACCTACTCCTTGGAAAAGTTAATTCATTCATTTTTGGCTAGCCAATCCTACTGAATGAGCCTGTCAATTCCTCCCTGACCTGTCCCCAGCACAAAACTCTCCTCCCTGGTTACCTACTCCTGTATGTGTTATTTTCCCTGTTGGAATGTAATTAGGAAAGAATGTCTCTTTTAAAATCTTTGTATCCTCAGCATTTAGTACAATGCCTAGCACATAATAAGCACCTAAAAATGTTTTTTTTTAAAATTCATTCCAAGGGGCAGCTAGGTGGCGCAGTGGATAGAACACACTGGCCTTGGAATCAGGAGGACCTGAGTTCAAATCCAGCCTCAGACACATAACAGTTACTAGCTGTGTGACCCTGGGCAAGTCACTTAACCCCAACTGCCTCACTGAAAAGCAAAAAAAAAATCATTCCTTCTGCTTTTAAAAAAATTGGCATCATTTCATAAAAGTTCCTAGACGTTCCTATTATGTTGGCCTTAATTGAACTAGATGATTCCATTGCATTAATGTACAAAATTCTTCAATCCTTACTTATTTCTATTAGACATTTAAGTATTTGTAGTTTTTTGTAATTACAACTAATTCTGCTATGAAAAAATTTTATTAAGTTTAATTTATGACACTTAAAAATATAGTGTATATCACGAACAATTGGCATTATTGGGGCAAATGGTACTACAATTTTTTGTGATTTTACTGGGTACTGCTAGATTATTCTCCAAAAAATTTGGTACTCTAATTTCACCAGAAATTAATTTACAGTTTCCCATAATCTCACCACTACTGAGTTTTTTGCTTTTAATTATATAATGCCAAGCTGATGGGTGTGATGTGGCACCCCAGAGTCATTTTAATTCACATCTCTTTGATAACTAGTACAGTTGAGCATATTTCAAGTTTTTTCATATTTTCAAGCTTTCATAATTCAAAATTCTCAACAACCTAGGCTTTTTCTTTTGAAAATTGCCTCTTTTGACCATCTTACCTATTGGACACTGGACATTAACTGTGTAAGGTTTTTTTTTTAACAGCTCCTTATGATTTTGATGTCAAGTTTTTAAATCAATCTTATCTGCCATAAATATTTTTCCAATCTTATTTTTTTCTGTATTGTTTCTGATTTGAATGTAGTCAAGCATATCTTTTGTCCCTAACAATTTCTATTTGTTGAACAGAAAAAAGTTATCTTCCATAAACTGAGACAAATGCATTTTTCCCTTTTTTCCATCCTTACATAGTTTTAGAAAAATAAAATTAAGCTTATCCACCTGTTGAAATTCAGAGAAGTATACAGCATTATATATTTGTAGGTCTAAATTTTGCTGGCATGTTGCCAATTTTCCCAAGAATATTAGATATTGAATCCTTTCCTCCAGGTTTTTACTTTACATATATTTATTATATAATGGTCTTTTGGGTTGGTTTTTTTCAAAAGAAGACCTAAATTATGTAATATTATTGGAACAGATTAATAAAGTTAAAATGAACTCTCCCCCAATAATTTATGTAATTCCAATCAAAATACCTAAGAGATTCTTTGTTATACCTAAATAAAATGAAAATAGCGTCAATTGTTATTCTTTGTACCCCAAAGTACCCTGTACCCAAAAACATTGCTAACCAATTTATAACATATTCTGAATCCTGAAGTGTAGGCTTTATCAGCTTAAAAACTTTATCAACTTTTTTCATCTTATCTCTGATATTCTTGTGCACTTGATTTTTTCCATATAAATTTCACTAAGATTGTATTTAGTTCTATAAATGAATCTCCTGGTATTTTCATTATAATTGCATAAACTAGATATACATTTGTAGAGTATTACCATTTTTACTTTATTAATCTGGCCCATTCATAAACACTGAATTTCCCCTTCAATTTACAGCTATCTATAAGCTGATACTGTACATGTTCAGGTAGGTCAATTCCCAAATATTTGATGTCTTTATTAAAAATGAATTTTTAATAGTTTTCTTGATCTTTGTTCTTGATAAGTAAAAATGCAAATGAGATCAGTTGAAGTTAAGGTGACAGTAGGATTTTAAGGTGGTACTCTAGTTATTAGAAAACGGATAAATGAAGCTGGAAAGAAGGGCTGAGGTTGAAGAGAAAGAATAGAGAATTATCTGGATTGACAACTAAAGCACAGGCTTAGGAATGAACGGAGGGCCAAGGGTTGAGCCTTCGGAAACACTTATTTAATAAGTTAAGGGATGTAAAAAGGAAATAGGAAAGCAGCAAGAAAATCAGAATAGCATAGTGAAACAGAAGATAAAAGAAAAAGTAAGTTTCAAGAACAAATGCATTTACATTTTGATATATAGGATGAAGGTGATGACTGAAGAAACTAGTGTTAGTAGATGAAAACCATATT